CAGAAATGCACTTTTACATTTAAGTAAATTATGAAATTTTAACTTTATAAACATGTGAAGAAAAGTATGGCTTTTGCACTTTAGTGTTTTAACATAGCTGATTGCTAAAAAGATTTTCCTTTTACATTCATTTGAAAATTCCATTTTTTCTAATCATATTTTTTGTTATTATATGAGCTAAGCTAACAGTATTAATAACTACTTTTATACAAATTCAAACTCAGTCTCTTTCTTTGATATTAAAAAACGACAAATGACAATTAGAGCAATTAAAAATCTCCCTTTAAACAAGAGAAGAAAAAAAAAGGAAAAAAAATCAAGATTTGCTTCTGAGGTGGTATAAACAAAAAATAGTAAGTTGTGGTTTTATTAATTTTAGCCACTGATCTATTGTACAGCTACAGTATCTCAACTGTGTCATTTTCGGACTGATTGATCCCATTCAGTAACATTTTCCATTTCTAGTCCTCTTTTAATTCTTATAATGATTTCATTAATTTGATGAATAAATGGTATTTATAGAGAGGTAAAATAATAGCTAATAAGACAAAAAAATAAAGAGGAATGAAGAAATTTATATGACAATAAGCCTAATTTGATAGACCTTATAGTTAATAAACTAAATTTTATATGGATTAGTTCATTTGTAGCAGTCAATTTTCTAATGTAAATGTCTTAATTTCTTAAAGAACACAGACAAAGGCATTGGTGTAATCACTTTATCAAATCTCTCCTTATTATGAAATTTAAATAGAAGATAAATAGAAAGTGGATTTGTGCAACATGGGAGAAGCAGCCACTGATTTAACTCTATTAAAGAGTGTTATTAAAGTTATAAACGGATCTGTGTCTTACACCTATAGAGACACACACACACACACACACGCACACTCTCTTAATATTTGCAAATCTTTGTTTTTGAAGGCCTATTTTTTAGACCAGTGTCTGATGAATATAGTAGCACAGTTCTGAGACTATAAAAGGGAGTAACTGATGTTGCAATATCTGAAGGAAATTTCAAAAGAGAGTTACCAAAATTATTTGAGCAACAGCAACATAATTGGGTTACATCTATCACCTCTAAACATGACTCATTTGGAGGTACGGTATCTGTTATGGTTTCTTTAACAGAATGAATCTCATTAGTTTATAATTAGATCTTAGGATATAACCTAGTTTGAAGGAATTTCTTGTACAGTTCATAGATGTGTTTTTGTACTCAATGATAAGATGTTTAAATACCTGAACATAAGATTCAACTAAGATAAATAAGAAGAAGCTTCTGGTAGTTACAGAAACAGGTGTTGGGTGAAACTGCCCTAGTAACCCAGATACTACAAACATGTTGCTCTGGGCTAATGCATCCCATCAGAACATTTGAAGATGAAAATAATTAACAAATGGATGCTCCATATTCAATAAGGGGATACATCTCCATGAGTAGAAACACAGATGTGACATATTATGCATCCCCTCTATAAATCAACACCAAAAAAGCAGTTACTAAGCACTTCCTTTTTGCATGGCAATTTAGAGGTTCAAATAAGGGAAATTACGTATATTTGAAAAAATGACTAAGGACAGAGTGAAGCATAAAACTATTGTAAACAGAAACATATGGTAACAGAGTAGAGGAATCACTTGTCTGTTTTAATGATGGCAGTTATAAAAATTCTAAATATAAGTCAAATCAAATATACTCTATTGTAAAGAGAAAAGCACAATCATTCTGCAGCATTATAACACAAGTAAAACACTACCTAATATCTCATTAATTTTCTCAGAGTTATACTGTCTCTTTCTAATTTTTTTTATACTATATGTTAGTCCAGACAGAAACCTATTATTTTCTCTAAAAAATATTCTGGACAATGAGAATTTTTCATGATTATTGAATTATAATTAATCCAATTCTGTGTACCTCTGGGGTAAAAATAACTTAGATTTGCTACATAATATCCATACATTGCAAATATTTAATAAATAGTATCATTCAGTAGTATCCACTAGGCACCTGCACATTTAGATAAACCATGTATATATTTGTTTTTTAAAATACTAATTTTTAACTTATAATATTCATAACTTATAATGTTTATATATTAACAACTGGTGATCATGAGCCTGTGACTATCTGGCAGCAAGAAACACCCCCATTTACTTTATTCCTTCTACTGTTGAACTTTGAGGAGTAGCAGATCTATTAGAAATATCTGAATTATTTAAGTTAAAGAAACTGAAGTATTATTAGAAGAAGTTACAGTCCAATTATGCCATGAAGCTGAAGGAAGAATGTGAAACTGATAAAGATATCATGTGGGGACATATGAAAGTTTAATTCAGGTACAATTTCTGTGGCAAACAGATGATTGCATTTCACTGATAATTTAAACAGAATGGAGAAATAACAGAAAGAAAGATAAATTAAAGAAGGATCAAAAAGATAAATTAAAGGAGTCTGAGTTTGGGAAAGATCATTCTAGATAAACTGTTGATGGAAGGAGATGAAAGTAAAAACAGAGACTATCAACAATATATTAAATATATTTTGGGTAATAGTTTAAAATAAAAGATACATTTTGATAAATATTACTGAAAAAGACACATAAACAGAATAATAAATATTTAATTGAGAAAAATAGTTGCTGAAAAAATTGGGGGCAAGAAATACCAAAAAAAATGCTAAAACAAAATCACAATCCACTTTCCACAATTATTCATATTCCTTATGAAATCAAGCCTTTATAAATCTCATAATACCTTGTCAAAAGTTTTAATACAACTACACAATAATACTTTTTATTACACACTTTGATAAAATTAACGGAAGAACATTTGGCTCCCATTGGCAGTTTTATATAAAAGGAATGTCTGCTTTACTAAATGCAAATTTTCTTAATGTTAATGTAATCTGTATGTGAAACTATTTAGTTAAAATATTACTTAATACATTTGCTCTATTCTAATCATCTATGCTAAAATCACAAGAAAAACATCTGGTCATATATGAAAACAAAACTATTTTAGAAACATAATTTAAATTCTATGATGTTCAGATCACTCTAGAGTCAAATAAATATTTGGGGAAAAATGTTCAGTTGCATTTACAAAAGAGTTTCTTAATAAGTAGAGAAATTATTAAAATAATTTTAAAATAAGAAAATTACACCAAGAAATAGTTATATGTATTACTTACATTAAATTAAAATTAATCTTCATCATGCAAAAATAATAATTCTTTTGCAAAGTCACCAAAACTGCTTGGCAGGCAACATAGCTAGGAATGAGGTGTAAGAATATTAGAGGAATGAAACTGCTCTAGAAAAGCATAGGCTCACAAGGCCTTGTACTCACACCAAGAGAAAATTCAACTAAGGCTGGGAAAGACAGAGTCTTTGAGCAACGCTGTCAACACTAAAGCCTCAAGTCAGGGCAAAAAGAAGTCAGAAACTAGGCAGAGGAAACTCATAACAACACCTAAGTCTGCTACTGAGTCATGTGATTAGGTTGTTCCTAAAAATAGGCTACATAATACTGACTAGAGTAGGAGAAAATTATAGGGAGTTCTTATCATCCAAATCAGGTTATAAACTATCTAACAATATTATGAAAATGAAACATTAACTGAGCGTTTATCTTCTGTGATTCCATTTCAAGGCAGTGATAATGAGTATAATGCAATATGGCATCCTTGGAATTTACCAAAGATATTTGTAAGATGTCTATTTCATTTTCTTCCATTGAATTTTTGATGTTTTGAACCACTTTTACAGGTAAAAATCCCTGCCCAGTTCTAGAAGAAGGTAGAAATCAAGAAGTCTCCTACCAATTGAAATAAGTTAGATCTATGAATTGAAAAGACCCTATTCTGTACCTGAGTTCCAATAACTGGGCTACATTCCCCATTTCCTATACAATCAAGCCCCATTTTTGTCCATTAGCTTCAGTAACCTGAGATGGAGGGCTTTATCCCTTTTTGCTGATGTTGTTAGTCTGCTAGCCTGGGCCTTTTATTATTTGCTAAACAGATTGGCTGTGGTGACTGCTTTCTCCTTATAAATGTGCCTGGTCTTTGACCCATCCCACTGTCCTAGAACCAAGTTGAAAATACCATGCCTTCTCTACCATTTGCATTCCTCACAGTATTTAGTTCAGACCTGAGCCTGTTCTTGATCAATGCTGATTAGACGGATGAGAAGCACAGTCATGATGCCAAGTTTCAGTATCATTAAGTTATAACTGCAAAAATTATTTTCTTAACGAAAGTGAATATTTGAGGCAACAACATGATTTTTATCCTTAAACTTAAATGAATATCATATTCAATGTCAGTCGCATTTGATAATGCAGTATTCTACCATAGTAAGTCATATTTCTGAAAGTATGTTTTATCATTTTCCTCTTTTTTTTTTTTTTTTTTTTTTTTTGGTACGCGGGCCTCTCACTGTTGTGGCCTCTCCCGTTGCGGAGCACAGGCTCTGGACGCACAGGCTCAGCGGCCATGGCTCACGGGTCCAGCCGCCCCACAGCATGTGGGATCTTCCCGGACTGGGGCGCGAACCCGTGTCCCCTGCATCGGCAGGCGGGCTCCCAACCACTGCGCCACCAGGGAAGCCTATCATTTTCCTCTTTTTAATTTCAGTCTCCTCATTTTATTATTTTTCTGCATTTTAACATTTTAGTTTTTTTCTCCCCATTTATTACTTATTGACATTTTTCTCAATGTTTTAATTTTCCCAATTTCCTTATTCTGTAATAGTGATGTGATTTTTTGTGTTATGATTTCCTCTGTGACAGTTCATTTTCAATTATTTTCTCTTTTTATTTAAAACTCATAACGAACATCATTTAGTCTGGGACTGCATAATGGGTTCAAGAAATAAATAAATAAAACTGTGCCAGTTTTGTGGTTGAAACCTGAACAAATACATTTCAAATGGTCTATATTATTAAGGGCATTAAAATAAATAGGAATAATCTTTACAGCATAGGAACTTTACCTGCTGAAGTTGGCTCTTCATCTGATGCTATGATAGAGAAAAAGAGATGAGGTGGGAACAAAGAGAGGGAGTGAGTGAGATGAGAGGGAAGGAGTGAGGTGAGAGGGAGAGAGAGATGGGGCAGAGAGAGAGAAAGAGAAATTGAGATTGAACATAAATATATTTCACATTTCTAAATAATGACTAAAAGTCTCTGACTTGAAATTTTGTATATACATTAGATATTTTTCATTAGATAATTAGATAATGACAGATAAATGGATAGTACTTACATTAAATTAACATTTAAAAACTCTCATACTTTAAAATAAGCAAGCATTAGAAAAGACCATTTGGTTGTCTGAATTTGAATTTTCTGTCCTTTTGCAAACAAGGTTGAACTTTTTTAGCTTGAGTGGAAATTATTATAATTATTATAAATAATATTGTTTAAAATATAAATTGTATATAACATAAATACCCCAACCATCCACTTTGTGGGAATTTTCTATTAGCAAAGAGGAATTAAAAGGTATTGTTGACAGTCAAAAATTCTGTTCCATGAGTTAGAAATTATAAAAAGGTAGGAATTATTAAACCTTAGAGTGACTCAGAATCACTATGAGTGTTGGTTAAACACAAAGATTCTCTCTCTCTCTCTCTCCCCGTCACATACACACACAAACACACTCAACTCATGTGTACCACAAACTTCAAGATTCAGTAGTGGTGATTCTGTGTTGAAGCCACAGGAACCCGCATTTTAAAGGTTGACCCCAAGCACACATGGATAAGCATGGATATTACAAAAGGAGAGGTCACATTACAAGAACATAACTTTATGCTAAAGCAGTGGTTCATAACCCCGCATCTACACAAGAATTGCCAAACTCTGGGCCCACCTCAGACCAACTGAGTCAGAGTCTCTCTCAATGGTACTAACTTGTAGCCAGGATTGAGACATGACTAAGTAATCAATATAGTGTAACATGAACTATAACTCAAAGTGTGAATCATTTTGATTCCTTCTTTAAAAGGGGACATTTCTGAGAGCAGCACAACTCCAAGGGTAATAATCTGCTGCGTGTATGTGGAGGATGGAGCATAGTGCTGCAAAAGTGAAATAGCTTCACGATTTTGCCTAGAATGCATGTCTTCATCTTTATACTAACAGACATGCTCTGAGAGAAGATATTTCTGCTCTGTGCACAATTGCAGCTTTATCAGGATATTACTGTTGAATTATATTACTCTAGCCAGTACTACTTCATTTGATTCATGAAGTTTTAAAATAAAAATTTACTCAGCTGAATTGCTTATAAAGGAGTTTTGTTTCCAGGTGATTTGTTCCTCAAGGTATCACTGTGTAACTAGGGAGCAGTCTCCACTATTTTCCATTAGGGTTACATCTGCACAGAGTACACATTAGACAAGCTTACTTTGTGTCCTGACAGTATTTTCCTCTCACACTGTTTGGCTTGTCTCCTTGGCACCAAAAAAGAAAAAAAAAAAAAAAAAAAGAAAAAAATAGAGCAAACACACTTGGCATGCATGGTGTGGAGAACATAAATATTTAAAAGCTGTTTGCTGCTTTATCATGTCCAAAGTACTTCACAACATGTTCAAAGAAGAAAACTGTTGGTAGCTTCCAGGAACTCCCTTTTAGGAAAATACCACAGGGGCTTGTAGAAGTGCTGACTTAGATGGGTCATTGCTGGTAAAAGTCTGGAGATTCAAAAGGAACAAGAATAAAAAAGCTTACACGTATAGCTGGTCACTTTGTGTATGTGAACTGAATTTATAAAGCAACGGATGAGATGAAATATACTCTTATTTGATAGATGAAGATACAGAGATTCAGGGTGACTGAACAATTTGTCTAAGGTCAGTTTGAATTCAAGCTCATGTGACTTTAAAACCAAACTCTTTCCACTGTGCCTTACTGTATCACTAATTCAGTATCCACTAAAAGAGAAAAGGAAATGGGAGAAAGGATCATGCAATAAGGACTGGCTAGATTTCAGATAATGTTTCTTGGACTTAGCCTAAGAGAAAAAACAAAAACAAAAACTGGATGTAAGGGCTACAGGAGAAATCCCTTTAAGAAATGAAGTGGTCCCTTGGAAACATCTTCAAGTCCTTTACAATCCAGGAATAGACATAGGCAGGAGAGGGACTGACTAGGAGGTTAAACAAAACATACCAAGCCTGTGATGCCTAAGAAAGAAATATCACAAAGGCTAAGATTTTATTCCTCCATTATATATGGATAAGCAAGTAATTTTAGGAAAGGACTAGCAAGCACAGAAGTAAAGACAATTCTAAACTTACAGGAGTCATAGCAATTAGATAGTCTTAAAGCCAAAGCTCCTGGGGTGTACTACCCTACACTTGAGCCTATAATACCTGAAAGCACGTTTGTAACAAATTAACAATATTAGAGGGACTTCCCTGGTGGTCCAGTGGTAAAGAATCTGCCTTCCAATGCAGGGGATGCAGTTTCAATCCCCGGTCAGAGAACTAAGATCCCACATGCCGGTGGGGGCGGGGGGGGGGGGCAACTAAGCCCGTGCGCCACAACTACTGAGCCTACATGCCTCAACTAGAGAGCCCGCATGCTGCAAACTACAGAGCCCATGCGCTCTGGAGCCTGTGTACCACAACTAGAGAGAGAAAAACCTGCACGTCACAACTAAGAGCCCTTGCGCCACAACAGAAAGATCTTGCATGCTGCAATAAAGACCTGATGCAGCCAAAAATAAATAAATAAAATAAATAAATATTTAAAACAAACAAAAAAACAATATTAGAATCAGCAGTTACACAAGTCTGCACAGAACTGTATTTCTTTGAAACATCTCCATAGTGGTGGTTCCTCATAACTTGCAGATGTAACTATATTCATACTACTAAACATATTCATACTATTAACCAATATACATACTATTAAAATACACACACATATTCACAAAGGCACGTTCAGGGTTAGGATTGGTATTAATTCACCATTTCAGTTATCGCTGGCAAAGATGGCTTTGTAAGCTAACTGCATTACCAGACAAAGCATCATGAACTATGAACAGGTGGCAGCAAGAGCCCCAGAAGTACAAATAAACTTCAAAGTGGACATTAGTGGTCTATTTTGTGACATTTAAGTGAAATTAAGGATCATAGAAGTAATTTCATGATACCTAAATGATTCCTTACTCTTCCTATTTGCTTCTTGGAATTCATGAATCAGCAAATAAACACACACACACACACACACACACACACACACACACACACACGTCTGTGTCACGTGCAAGTCCCTCTAATCCTGGAAATTAAAAAGACATGCACCAAAAGAAATAAAAGCAAACTAACAACTCTGTATTGTTCTGCCTGGTGACAATGTAGACGAATGTACTGAAATTACGGTGATGGTAGGAAAAGAGAGAGTGAAAGTATATATATCTAATATACAGAATTTAACTCAGTGTGGTCCTCTTATTACCCATAACAGAATCACCTGGGATTTTGTTAAAATGCCACAGATCTAATGAGTTTGAATTCTGGGTGTTAGCCCAGGTTTTTGCATTTTTAAAAAGCTCAGCAGGTAACTGTTATGAACACTAAGTATTGAGAATTATGGCTCTATCCATAAAAAGTTTATTGCAGAGCCATGGGTCCAATTGTTGGAACTGCAGCAGTAAATTAGCAGGCTTGTAGAAAACCCTTTGCAGTGTACTCTGTGGCTGTTTCACTGACTTTCAATGCTCTTTCTCTTTAACATCTTCAGGTTTGGGTATCTACATTGGGTATCTATCATTTTTCCACAGAGTTTACCACCACATTTTGATACAATAAACCTATTCCTCTGATTCTGAAGTTGGTCACAATTTTTTCAGGACAGTCTGGCAGTGTACATGTTCATGAACTGGGTTGGTGCTTAACCGAAGGAGAAGAAGGCATCCTACAGATTTTCCTTCCCTTCCCTCTTTCCTCCCTCCCTCACCTTTCTCCTTTGCTCACAGGATCAACTGTCAAGTACAATAACTACACAAACCCAGTGAGTTTTGTATTACCCTGATATACATGTGCTAGCAAAACACACACATACTTCTTCATTGAACAGGCTCTAGTCTCTTCATGTGGTGTCAACAATTTTGTTATCTCCTGTTTTTTTTTTTTTTCTTTTTGTCTTATCCTTGGGTGTTTTAAGGAAACTTTCACACCTTGGAAATTCTATCCATTTAAAGCAATTCTATACCCAGCCCAGCATCGCTCACCATCAAATAGGAAAATCTCATTATGAAATACATAAAATACATTTCTTAGCACATGATAATCTATTTTACATAGAGATGTTAGTTCATATTGACTTATGGATCATTTTGTTTGCTATACTATAAATCTAGTTAATTATGCACAAATATGCTTTGCAAATATACAATTATCTATGTAATTTATTATTTCCATGAGCAAAGCAACAAGAAGTATGTATTCTTGTACTCTCACAACATTTTAGAATGTTTTTATTCAACTGCAGTGATGCAAAAATAACGATGATATGTATGCATGATTATTCATGCCTGCCTAGAGGTTAAATACCATAAATGTATGTGTGTGTGTGTGTGTGTACGTGTGTGTTAGTACTAAAACAAAGAAGAGAAAATTAACATTTAAAATTTGTGAATTCAGTCATTTAAGTAAGTTGTGGAGCTGTCTCTGGAAGTATACAGAGAAGTATTTAGAAAGAGGTTTTATTAGTTTACATGATCTTTGTTTTACTGTTTGTTGATTTGTTTGTTCTTGGCCAATGGCCCAATGAGGACAAGCCTCAGGACTTAAAAGTTGCTATTACCAACTCCTTTTTTGTGAAAGTATGAAGAGAAGTGTTAGTCTCTCCTGGCCAAAGACTTCAGACAGCATACTATGTGGTCAGTTCTCCACTCTCAGAACTGCAGAATAATTGGGTCACCGTGAGGAGCAGCAATCAATGGATTTGCAGAGAAAATGTTCAGAGAATTACAAAGTCTTCTCTGTTCTATCATTCTTCCACATGC